AGAATTCTGGCTGGCTGGGGAATTCTGGGAGTTGAAGTCCACTCATCTTAAAGTGGCCAAGTTTGGACAACACTGTCCTAGTGGGTTGGAGGTGTCTTTGCATTCTGTTACAGATCAGCACCCCTGACTGGAAGTGATCATAGGAACACCGAGAATTGCTTTATTTTGAATGAGATATTGCTCTGTTTAGGTAGGCATTGACTGGCACAAGCTCTATTTTTTCTAGTTCTATCGTTCGATATCAACAACAGAAGATTTTTTGCATTCAAAGTGTATAGTCTACTTGTTACTACATAGTACTGCAGTATGTATTCTGCTAAATCAGATCAAGATCCAACTCTCTCACCTATGAGTTCCTAACAGTGGCAAGTGATGCATCTCTGGAAGACCACAAACAAGCGATGGTGATATGGTTATATTCTGTATTTGTCACCTGCATCTATTCTTAAGAATGTATTACCTTTTAACATAGAAGTTTAATTCAGCTGTTGCAATAAATAAAGTTTGATTTAGACCTATTGTCTGTGACTTTGCCTTTCCCAATTTGGTGTCTCCAGAAGTACTGGAACTGGCTAAACATTCTGGAAATTGCACTTCCAACACATCCGGTGAGTATCAAATTGGAGGAAACTGGTCTTATGTATGTTTCCCTTCTCACCCTTCCTCTCTCCCTTGGCTGCCGTAAAACAAACTTTTGTTATTACAACTATTGAAATAAGAAAGAGATGCTTGCCTGGTACCTGGGCAGCTGCCACTTCATATCCATCAGGGTTCATTGAAGGTAAGAGGTGAATGCGTGTTTCATGGATGAGCTGTGTAATGCGCTGATTACCATGGCGATATTCTTCACATAGGAATTCTGCAAGCTGGAGCAACAGTTCCCGGCCTAGGACCTCATTCCCATGCATGTTTGCCACATACTTGAATTCTGGCTCCACTGAGAAAGGGAGAGACATTGCTGACATTGGAACAGAGTGGATAGATTCGACACAATGGGGTGCTGATCCAAAAACATTCAGGTCAAGCAGGAGGGGGAAGCCATATGGATTCCCAATTGGCATTCTAGGATGATGAAACTTTAGCTGTGGCCTTTTATGTTGTGGAAAGAAGCTCATTGTGGGGTTATGTGCTTCTTTGGACAGCACATGTTCATTGTCTCATATATCAGCAAGGGAGGCAAACTGCTGTCCCTCACAAAGGACTTGAAATACAGGGCAATGGACAGGAATCTGTGCGCCAAGAAAATGGGAAGAAGCAGTGCATTGTGTGAGAATGGTATGGCAAATCTTTTCCTGTGATATAGGATTAACAGTAGGGTCCAGTTGGAACAGCATAGTGAGGGTCCCTATTTCCTTATTTCATACTGTATGTTCAAAGGCCCTTTCCACTGTTCTTTTAGCTTTTCTCTTGGAATGTCACATTCCAGCCTTCCAAAGCCTTACAGGGGTTAAACTAAAATGCAAAATCAAATCAGCTTGGCTTGGCCTCAAATTCTTTTATGTAAAATTGCTTCCCCCATAGATGGCCCCCTTAACTCTACATGCACCCTGCAGGATGCATAAAAACAATTTGTAGGTTCTGAAAGAGCTCCTTCTTCTCAGTTCCCCACTGATAGCACTATGGGGAGAAGGCTATTAAATTATATACAGAACAAGTCTTTAGAAGGGTAGGCAGTATGCCTGCAAACCTAGGTAGTCCTATTTTACCCCCGAAGAACAAAAGTATTTGTGTGGATTATGAGGGGGAAAAAATCCAAATATATGTTTATATATAATAGACATCCCTTGATCAAACTTGCAGCTGATCCCAGCCTCTTTTTTTCCCTATCCATTCTTCATCAGTTCTATCCTCCTCTTCTTGTATCCCTAAGAATCATTTAACCAGGTGGTCTATGGGATTTCTTTACATGAGCTATAATGGCTTACCTGCTGATCTTGGTGGTAAGAAACACAAGATCAAATCCATTATCACTTACTAGTCATTAGTATTATCTATCTTGTAGGGTTAATGCATAGAGTAATGCATATCATACTGGTAAAATGCTGAACTTTGGATATCAGAGAAATGAATGTTTACTAAATTACCTAAAATTTACCTAAAATACAAATATTTCTCTTTGAATTAGATTTTGGGGTATACAAATATAAAAGACTATAAAATATAATAAAAATAAAAAGAAGTAAAAGGATTGGCTAAAGAGTGTTATATCTGATCTGCTTAATGTAACTGATGAATTAACATGACTTACAATGCCTGGTTGAATAAATATATTTTTGCCTGACATCTAATGGATAATGGTGACCCAGTAGGCTAGTCTTCCCCAATCTGGTATCCTCCAGATGAGTTGAACTTCAGCTTCTTTAATTCCTAAGTACACTGCTTTGGGGAAGGTATTCATTAACCAGGATGCTTCTGATGAAAAAACTCTTTGCTTTAACTGGAGGAGGTATATCAAGGGCCTCAACAGATGATCTTTGATCTTAGAGTTCTTGCTGCATAATCATGAGTCCGGTGCCTGAATTTCTCTCTCTGTCATCAACATCAACATGATGCAATGTCCGGCTCTGCCCCGCTTATTCAAAGGTCTAGTCTATCAAAGCTACAATTTGCAACATCTGCACAAAAAGCTATGGGGGAGATAGTGCAGGGAGAACTACTTAAGGTTTTGTCATCTTCCAAGGTTAAATATAAATCTTAATCCAATTAGCTATAGTATTTTGTAGAATTAAAGTACAGCAGTAGAAAATGAGAGTTGGAGTTGAATCTCTGGAATTGGGATTACATTTTGCCTTGATGACAAGGCTCAGATGCTTGCTAGTACATATCTCTCAATACTGCATGTGAAATGGAACAGAACCGACTGAAGTGTCATGAGACTCAATAAATTGTTAAGAAAATTATTAAACAAGTCAATGTCAACCCAAACACTGATTCTGTTCTGCCGGCCCCTCTTCCCCTTGACCTGACCAAACATTCTATTAGGAATACTATGGCATTGGCTTGATTCCATTAGGCACAGAGATTCCAGCACCATACTGAACCCAACTGTGCATTGGTCAGGCAGAGCAAAAAGAAGCAACTCTTCAGCTATACAAAAGAGTTATACCTCTGGGCACACTTACTGGGCTCATGGATGCCAGGAGAGTCGCTGAATTCCAGCACATAGAGGTTGCGGCCCTGGACACTGCGCCCAATGCTGTACAGCCTGGTAATATAGGGGCATGAGCCCCTTACGTCGAAGAGGGCTTGCACCAGCTCCTCATAGCGGTGATGGAGAAAGTTAATTGAGGCAGCCACTCTCACCAAGAGCAGAACTTTTCCAAGGAGCCAAAGCCACTGATACATTTTTCTCTGGATGGCAAGCAGCTTTTTACAGGAGATGAAAACTGTGCAAGCTTTCTTCTTAACAGCAACTAAAATGTAAACTCGAACCAGCTCTCTCCAGTTTTACAGTCAAGCGCCAGCCCACTCCACCTGTGGTGGTAATAGTGGTGGGAGGGGTATCTCAGTGAATGCCTCTCGCAGCTTGGGAAGAATTTTTAATGCTGAGCTCTTCTCTTTGTGCTCTACTACACACATACACCAGAGTTCTTGGAGCCAGAATCGTTCAAAACCTCTGCACCTTTAGATAGTTGTGTTGATTTCTGTTCATTTATTAACTGAAGGATAAACAGGGGTCTGAAACTTCCTGGCTCCTCATGGCAGGACAGAGGCCTGATCAAAATCTCTCAGATAAGAAGGGGTATTCAAGAACTGTGACATCTTTCACTGGGGGGTTGGTTTCTGCCAAGACTCGCTAGATTTCAACCCAGGAACCCATTTTCAGCCACAAGCCAGAACCTTGGCATACACAAAATGTAACAAAGCAAGCATCTATGAGCACATACAACATGCTTCTTCCTCTCTATGGTCCCTCTACATTCAGAAGTTAGGTGCAGTAAAGAGCATGTTGTATGACTCCAGAGCAGGCATGGGGTCATGCAGCTGTCTTAAGAACTGACATTGGAACTGAAAATACTCTGATATTATGAATGTCCATGATCTGATGATATCCTACAAAAGAAACAGTGCTTTAAAATAAACAGGGGTGGGTTGCAGAGTAAATGCAATCTGGGACAAAGGGCAATACAAATGGTGAAGCATTAGATTGGCTCAACTCTTGGTCCTATGCTCAGTGTTGCTCAGTTTTGCCCTGCTTCACTGTGGCTCCTTTTTCAAGGTATGTTATGCATAGGGCTATTATATTTGGACTGAAAAATCTGGAAGACCGTTTGATGGCAGCAAAGAGGTACAAAAATCTCTCATTTAGCTCAGATATGATAGTCTTAATTGTTCATAAAAGGCCTGAGAGTGTATCTTGGGAATCAGACTGGGTTTCAATTGTCCATGTTTTAAGCCAGGTGCAGTGTGCACTCTGACAGCATATTTTGTTTGCGTTCAATTTTAGCATCCGAAAAGACAGTATAATTTGTTTAAATAAAAAAATTATTGGGAGACCCAAAACTAAGATGATGGTGGCCATCCTGAACTGAAGGAAAAACCAAAAATTCCTTTAAACTCATAATCAAATGTCCCTCCTCAGTAAACATACTGCCAATTACATCCATCCATCTACTTGCTGTAATTTTTCACATCCCTTCTCTTTATGGCTTCAACCCCAGAACAGACCTCCAAATCGATCCTCAATAGCCAGGCTGTACACTATAGTTGTATTTGTTCTGACCTGCTTAACAGAGATGCTCAACTGACGGAATTAAACCAGGCATTCAGGAGACTGAACTATCCATCCAATAGATAAATCAATAGATCCAGACTGATTTCCAGATGAACCTATTAAAAGACAGAACAAAACCTAATAACAGAGCACCAGTAGTTGTCACCTATAGTTCACAGCTCAAGTCATTCAAACATATTATTAATAAGCTACAATCCATACTGGACAATGACATTGTATTTTCTCAGGATGGATGACAGACCTATACTTGGCTACAAACAATCACTTAGTCTGAAGCAGATTCTCACAAGTAACAAGCAACATTAAAACAATTATGCTAACATAGGAACCTGTCAGACCTAGCCCAAGGAACTCCAAGAGACAATCCAAATTCAGTCATGTTTATTAGCTACAACCTCTAGCAAGAATCTTCCCAGACTGAAACCCCAGATCCCAAGTCAGCCAGCCACAACAGTGTGAATTCCTCAGGGAGGTGCCAGTCTCATCCTCTTGTTCCTCCATGCTTTTCTGTGGAGCTAAGAAAATGTTTATCTCCCTGAGCCTGGCCTTCATAATTCCATTCCATCACAGAACCAGCCCCTACAACAAACCCAGATGTCCACTTTGCTCCCACATTTACACCAACGGCACCATTGCAGACCCTAACAATTTCACACAAGAATAGAGGCATCTTCATATGTTCTTCCTTTAATGTTATATATTCTATCATCTGCCAATAAAGCCCTCTGGATTCTGTGTAGAACAAACAGGTCAGAGTTTATGCAAAACACTTAAGGGATATAAGTTTGATATCAGGATCAAAATAAGAACAAAATAATACCAGAGTATAAACTTCCCATGAGGCTCCATTGCATGCTTTGGAACAAAGAAACTCACATTTTGGTTTTAGGCTACCTCAGAGGATCTCAATACAAAATGGGTTTTTAACACATTATATTTGTTTATTTATAAGGTAATTGTAATCTATCTCACATGTAGCCCGCATCTGCATAATTAGCCCTTTTTTCTCTTCCCCTGCCTCATCTCATTTTAAATCCGACATCATTTTAGCCACTCCATGAAGTGAATTGTAGTGATGTAGTTCATGAAAGCTTACATCTTTTAATAAAATTTATTAATCTGAAAAGGTGCTACCAGACTCCTGATTTTTCCTCTCTCGTTATTTTCATTTTTGGAAGAAAGAAGCAACAATATTGAGACTTGGCAAAGCCAGTCATCACATCTCTAAATCACTTTCAAATCTTTCTAAAGTAATTTGAAGGTACCCAATTATATGATTTAATTTGTAAAACGATTCAAAAAGGGGAGTTGACCAAATCTTGAACTGAATCACCCATTTGTTCAGCTTCGGTGCATCCCCATTTTGACTTAATTTTTGTGATCTGGCTAAGGGGTGAAAGAAGATAGCTGAATCAGTGATGATGACCAAAATGCAGAATAAAGGTTTGGTTTACATGTGGCAACAAAATAAGACACAAGAATTATGAAGAAATAAATACGGATAATAGTGGAGTTTTCAAATGTTCCCTTATCTTAGTAACCCATTTACAATAAATCTACTGGGAAAGAATTAAAATCCTTAATCTCCTCTGCTGTATCTGATTTCTTTTGGAAGAGACTTTCCCAGAAGAGCATTAAAACTGTGATTCTTGACACCTGCAGGATGAAATAAACAATCTATTTTATCATCTCAATACTGCTTTATTGCATATGAGGGCTAATCCTTAATCTCTCCTAATTCCTTCCTTAATTAAGTAGAGCAACCTCTCCTCACAGGTTTTGTGTCTCAGGGAAATGGAGCAGGAATTTTACTAAGACAGCCTGGCTCCATCAGACTTGAGTTTCTGGAATGTGTCAGGAAGATTTTAAAAGGTGAAGCTGCTGAAATCCCGCACTTGGGCATTCTTGCTATTTCTCTGTAGGTCAAATTGTTCTCTTGCCATGCTATTCTCCCACTTCCTTTGGGAAATAATGGACAAACACCAGTGGCATTATTCAAAGCATCTTTAATGTTCCATATAAATACAGATAAGTACATGTGTATGAAGTGAATATTTGTTTCATTTGAACAGGAAAGCCAAGACAGGGTTTAAATTATTTTCAGAAAGTATGTGACAGCATCCCAGGACCACTTATCCTGAATTATTCTTCCTCCAAGCCTGCAGCCAGGAAGAGGGGCTACTGGGCACAGATGTTTAATAATATAAATTTATTGCATTTAATTCCCTTCCAACCCTATGTCTACAGTTGGGATTCTTGCAAATCAGTCTGTTGAAGAGCATAAATTCAGCAGCAACCCCAATAACAGGATAAGGGACCTGATACGTTGTGTCATTTGGACAGATTATCACAAAACAATAACAGGCACCCATTAGCTGGGATCAATATGAAGAGGTAGACAAACTTTTTCCAAGCATGGGGCCTTCCAGGAATGTAGGACCATCAGTGCCACCATCCTTTCAGCAAGTGGATTGGGCATGCTAGTTGGGGATGGTGGAGACTGTAGTCCAGCATATCTGGATAGTACCAGACTGGCAGAGATAAAGAGATTGTCACTTGTTCTAGTGACTGTCTCAATCCAACCCAGCCTGATTTGCATCCTTTTCCCCCCTCCCAATGCTGCTTCAATCCTAATGTACTCTAAAAGGTTATCCTAAGGAATATGAATAGTCAAGATTTCTGTATTGTTCTACAGCTATGGGGGGAGAAGAATACTGAAGGTCTCTAATAGTGGATAGTTCCTAGCAGGAGTAAGGCATAAAGATACAGAAAGGAGCCAACTGATTTTTTTCCTATTAAGATTCTGGAGTAGCTGGGAAATATGTAGGACATTGTTATTCATTTATTTTTATTCATTTATTCCATCTTTTGACTAGGCAAGGTCCTGAATGGTCAAAGATGGGTCAGTTTAAATGCAGCTCATCTAGAAAACCAGCTCACTAAACATAGACGTATTTCCAAAAAAAATTGGAAATGCTTTTTAAAAATCAGTACAAAATGAATGCTTATTTTGTGTAATCAGTGTGGAAATATGTGGCATGGTACATATTGCTCATTCTCACTAAGCCAAGATTCACAACAATTTTGACACATAAATGTGGTCAGTACTTACCTGGCATGAATTGTTATATGTTTCATACTCTGAGCATTTCCTGTTTCTGTGCTTCTCATACATCAGATTTTAAGTTCTATTCCCTTTCCCTTCTTTGCAAACTCTTTTAAATGGTAAGCCATTTCATTACTTGTCAAAATTATGCTTGTCTGAAATAAAATTCCTGAGGTGGGGAATCATATTGTTGAAAAACTTCCTGTATTAAATAAGAAGAGCCATGTAAAGTTCATGCTAACTCTAGAGCTACACATTGTACTAAGCCAAGCGAACCGCATCATGACTTAATGCAATAATCCTGCATATATATATATGTGCTAAAATAAAAGTAGATTCCTTAGATTAGCCAACAGCATGAAAATTACCTTCATCAATCCTAGTTGCTAAAAGTCACTTAAAAGTGCCAGTATCAGATATCTGCTAGATCAACTATCAGCCACCGGCTCTCTAATTATCTCCCCACAATGTCTTCCCCTGTGTGATTCTACAATCCTGAAGTTATTTAAACTCTCAGGCCTGGTCTAATTTGGAACACGCTTAATCTGCTGAAGACTGGAAAGCTGGTGGATGAAAGCCAGTTGATCTGCCTGAGACCAGCAGATTCCCTTAAAACTCTGCTTGACCATGTATCAGCTCTGCCTGCATGAATCTTCCCCACCTAAAACATTGCCATGTTATTATTGCTGGATCACAGGATTATTCCATTGAGCTGGTTCTCCAGAAGACTTGAGACTGGCAGGGACACTGCTATCCTGAAGCAAATGATAAATAAGGCTTTCATAAGAGTGGCACAGATGTACAGGTAGGTTGTCTGCTGACAGGATATGTTCAAATGTTGCTGGATCAACAGTGTTAACAGGATAGCTTAGATTTGCTAATCAGCAGACAGGCTAGATAACAGACTGGCTCATTTGTCAGAGGAAGGCTGGAAATGGTTTGACTAGAGTAATTCCTAATTTTCAATAAAACTCCAGTGCGTGAGTTTTGTTTTTTTCCTAGGAACATTCCTCTGGGGCTTGGAAGAAGGAAGGGATTCCAGAGGTTCCACTCTTGAGAACTTCCGCATCGCAGGGATGTGAATTCTGCTGCAAAGGGTTTGTTTCCCTCTCCTCCAACACAAACAGTTTTTGAATGATAATAATACCAATGGACTTTGTTAATATACAGTGTGAAATCAAGCCTGTGTGTCCAGAAATGTATAACTTACATAAGGCAGCTGATAGTGAATCCAAACAGTTCACAAACAGTTCATCAGTGCAAGGCCTGTTACTCAGATACAAACTGTTACACATCAGGAATAATTCACTGTTCCTTTTTCTGGTCAAGCTGGACATTCATAAGCTGCATTTTGTTCTTTAGCTTTTAGTAGAGAGTACTTTGGGCTGTTCCTCCTTTCTTCTCCCAGCAAATGATAAGCTATTGTCAAAAGTTTTCACTTCCAACCTCTTTCACAGAGGACATACTACAAATCTGATAAAGGGCTACTTCAAAACTGTAAATGGGATGGGGCCAGTAGGCAGTATGTCTGAATGCTTATGGAGCTTTCCAGTAGAATGAAAGAAAACACACAATCCAAAGAGAAGTCTAGGATTGTCCTTGCAATGTTCAGTCCATCATTTCTGGCTGGATGTCCCTGTGCTGTATTCCCAGGACTAAAGCAATATATGAAGTGGCATACCTGAGAGAAGTGGTGTTTGTTTCAATACAATGTGCAAGTACTTATTATCAACCCTCACTTAGAGTAGGATGAGAAGTGAATCTTCAGTCTGAGGGAGATGAACAGAATGGTAGCATGCTGTTGTTTTGGTATCTGTTGGTGCCAGAGCAAATGGCACAGAAAGCCTTCATATAGACTAGTTGTTTCAGCAGAGCAGAGGGGGAAAGTACAGCCCTCTGATCTTGACCACAACGTGTCCATAGACACACCAAGCTGCCTACTGCACTCTAAATTATTTCCTTTCTCAGGCACTTTGGTTTGCGATAAATCATCCAGCCTACAAAGAGCAGAGACACCACTAGAGTAGAGCAGATGACCATCAAGCTGATATAGCTTGCGTGGGATAATAGGTGTCTGTAGGGCTGCTCTGCAGGGATCATGTTGGTAAGGTTTAGCATATAGCCCAGGGTCCATCCTGCATCACTGTTTTGAATCTGAAATGAAGGAGACGAGAATCACTCAATGAAATATTAAGCACTTCTGAGAAAAGTGGTGCAAACACTACATATGCAACTCTCTCCAACAACTCAGTGGCTGGGTTTGCATAATAAGTTTACTCAAGTCAGTTAAAGACGCAGCAACTGAATTCACACAATCTGCTAAGGCTGGTTACTTTTTTGTGAATTCACATGAGGGCAAAGCTGGCCATTTTAGTTAGTTTATGTTTCAATATATTGTAAAAATCCAGAAAATGGGTTAATTCAACAACCAAGATAAGCATGTTGAATGAATCCATTCAAAGTGTTGCTCCTGGGCTTCTAAGTTCTTAATGTTTTGTGCCCCTGATACTGCACTTAGCCTCTTTCCATGCTGATCTACCTGCTTCATACAATACCAGAAACCCTCCTCTGTATCCCACCTGAGAGAGACACAGTTGGTGAGGGATAAGGTTTTTTCAGTTGCTGCACCAACATTGTAGATTACAATGGCTGGGGTGGGTCTTCCGGGGGGGGTTGGCGGTGTGTTGGAAAACAGCCACGCGGCCGCCGGGGCCCACACCACA